ACATTAGTATCTAGAAACACAGAGGCCTATAGCGAATTTGAAAGGACTACAGTCTCATTCAGCAATGAACAGCTGCGGTTTGTTTCTAGAGCTGGTAAATTCCCCTCAGGCAGTGACTTTTGTAAAAGGGGACAAAAAAGGTTTCCACTCCTGAACACTCTCAAGGTCCTTTGCTGCACTCTCACATTTCACCCAAAGCCATAAGGGCAGCCTATTTACTCTGAAACTGCATATCTTTGATACAGCTTTGGAGGGGATTATTTCCAAGAACTACATGTCATGCTGCTCCCTACCCTTTGCCATTTATTACAACTGAACCCTCAGCCACACTGCAGTGTAATCTGCCAAAAAGGAATAGCTACTAAACTGAGAGCCCTCTTTGTCCACGAGGACCCAACTTGTGCTGTACTAATGTGGAAGGGAAACCATCCAAGATTTTCAACGAGTAGGTTTGAGGTATGCACCGTTATAGACACAAACTGTCTTACGGTGATAGCCGGCTAGAGGTATCCTGTGCTACATTTTGAGAAACACTTGAAGCCACAGAGCTATTTCTCTTTCAAACATATTGACACCACAGATGTGAAGAAAAAAAGCACACACAGTTAATGAGCCCACAGCATACCCAAATGCTCTGAGAAGTTAGCCAAAACCGAGAAGAAAACTATTAATACTAATCTGGATCAGGGAGTAGGATCAGTATGAACAGCTCAACAACTTGACAGCTGTAAATCAAAGTCAACCACAAGGCAACCTAGGAATCTCCCCAAAGACGTAGTAAGTAGTTTAGGCCAAAAAAGTATGGGGAAATTTGTTCTCAAAGATTTCATTACCAGTAACATGAAAGCAGAAAGAGAGACACTATATTGAGGCTCTGAAATAGATTTACTATGTTTAGTCTCAAAGGCCTGTATCAAGATCTTGTCTGGGATTTGATTTAAAAAAAATTTTTTTTTTTGAGCTTCCACTAGAGAAGTATAAAAAAAATTTTTTTTAAAGGTTTTTAAAAACTCTGGGAAAGATTATGGACAGACAAGACAACTTAGGTTGTTTCCAGTTATTCCTCAAATATGAAGTTATAACTCTTAAATTTACCTTAGGGTGCATAAGGATTCAAGTCTGGTGAACAGGGATGGGATGAAGATACCTAGTTCCCACTGATCTCATGACCCCGTTATAAAAAGTAGATTCTTAAAAAATATATAAATGTGTACAAAATACATTAACACATACACATAAACACACTTATATACATTTTGCAGGTCCATTACAACTTTGCATGATTGCTCTTCCATAATCGTTAATGACATAAAAACTTTTGTCCCAAGTCCAACTATTCTCATGCCTGCTGCAGAGATGAAGCATTTGGTTCAGGAGTATGAATGAATTAAATATATGACTACAGGTAATATTTTTGGTGACAATGAAAGTGGCTATTTAACACAGCAGGATTTTGGCCTAAGCTTTGGCCTGTATTTATGACTACAAAAGTTTGGAGATTACAGCCAAAAAAAAGACTGGAAATTCAGAAGGAAAGTTTTTTGTTTTGTTTTGAATAGTTTTACTCTTAAGGCATCTTTTTGTGTGTTATGAGATGACAAGCAAAATCTGCCACCTCAGAGTGTTCTCTTATATTCCTGTAATGGTGGGGAGAAGATTCTGGTTCTTACCTCAGAAAAGAAAAAGCAGAACTTATTTCAGGAACATCAAGGTAGTACCTGTCAGAGAGAAAAAGTTCTGATAAACCTACCAGGAGGCGTGCAGGCATCTGCAGGAGACTGAACAAATGTGGATCGCCTTTTGGTTGGCATGGGCAAAGCCATCTTCTGTTCTTTATGCTTTGCCAGTGCAGCCTGAACTGCTTCTGTGTGGATATCTGAAAAATTAAACATTTGCATTTATCAGCTTCCGGCTCTTAAATGTGTTTACCACTGTGAGCTGAACTATCACTGTCTCAATTGTTTTAAAAAAAAAAAAAGGTAAAGGGAATGTTCAGGTGATTTTTATTTATAATTTGATTAAGACCAATTAGAAATAAAAATCAAAAACAAAAATAAAAGAAGCCAAGGATAATTTTATGGAGGAGGAAAATGAAGTCCAGGATGATGTGTGACTGCTTAACATACCAGACAAAGAGTTGACAGAGATGTGGGGAGGTGGGTGGGGACAGAATACTGAGTCTAACATGCATCTGTGCCAGGCAGGAAATCCTGCCTCAAATGGAATGAGTGCTGTGCAGGTGCCTGGAGAACACTCATTATTTTTCAAGAAAAGAAGCTTAGGATTTTCTTAACTGTCTGAAAGAAAACTTTGTTGAGACCCCTCAGTTCTATGCCACAGGAAGAGAAGGATTGATTTTGATCTAGAAAAACATAAGGGCAGATGTTACTTGTTTGCCACTTTGGGCACAAAAAATTTCAGCTCTCTACTTGAATGTTTAATAGGAATCTCAAAATTAACACATCCAAAGAAAACTCTCCATTTTCTACCCCCACCCCAAAGCTCACTCTGTAGTTCCACAAAATTAAATCATACTGTATACAGTATTGTATTCTGCTTTAAAAAACAAACAAACAAACAAAACCTCTTACAAAATCTTACTGAGGTAGATAACAGCTGAGGTAGCTTCCTAAGTCACAAAAAAGTTTCCTTTTGTCTAGGAATGGGCCTAATCCACACACAAACTATCCTTCCATACTTCTCTGTAAAGTAAATATACCCCTTATAAGAGCTAAACAATGAGGTCTTTTTGTTTGTTTGTTTTTGAATTTAAACTCTGAATCAGGAAACTGCAGGTCCTAAAATTGAATCACTTTAATGACAATGCGACAATGCCCTAGAAAGAAGGAAGGTTTTAAACTTCAAGGCTGAGATTTCCAGAGTTATCTATCCTTTCTAGGGGTTTCTCAAATGTTGATTTGTTTCTATGACCTACCTCAGCTATTTAAGGTAGCCTATGTAAGTTGGCCTATTTCTTTTCTTTTGAGACGGGGTGTCGCTCTGTTGCCCAGGCTGGAGGGCAGTGGCGCAACCTCAGCTCACTGCAACCTCTGCCTCCTGGGTTCAAGCATTCTCCTGCCTCAGCCACCCAAGTAGCTGAGACTACAGGTATGCGCCACCATGCCTGGCTAATTTTTGTATTTTTAGGAGAGACAGGGTTTCACCATGTTGGTCAGGCTGATCTCGAACTCCTGACCTTGTGATCCACCCGCATCGGCCTCCTAAAGTGCTGGGATTATAGGTGTGAGCCACTGCACCTCGCCAGGCTCTGTTTCTTGCAACCAAAAAACCTCCACTAATACAACTAGAAACATCTCACTGTGTAAATACAGACCAATGACAAAAGTTTTAAGGGCTGCATAGTATTCCACTGCATGAATGTGCCATGATTTACTTATACAACTCCTTATTATCAGATACTGGGTTATTTCCAATTTTTGTAACTATTCATAGAAAGAATAATTCAGTATTTTCACCTTAGAACATGTCTATTTTCTTGGACTTAATTCCAATAACTGCTGAGATCAAAGTACATATACTTCTTTTTCCAGAAATGTTTCAAACTTATTTCCTAAAAATAAGGAACTTTGTCTTATAAAACCCCAGGACATTATTCAAAATCCAGAAAAACTGGCCTGGTGCAACGGCTCACACCTGTAATCCCAGCACTTTGGGAGGCCTAAGTGGGCAGATAACTTGAAGTCAGGAATTCGAGACCAGCCTGGCCAACATGGTAAAACCCTGTCTCTACTAAAAATACAGAAATTAGCCAGGCATGGTGGCATGCACCTGTAATCCCAGCTACTCAGGAGGCTGAGACAGAAGAATCACTTGAACCCAGGAGGTGGAGCTTGCAGTGAGCCGAGATCACACCACTGCACTCCAGTCTGGATGACAGGGCAAGACTCCGTCTCAAAAAAACAAAACAAGAAACCCCAGAAATTCTTGGTTTTTTTTTTTTTGTTGTTGTTGTTGTTTTGTTTTGTTTTCTTGAGATAAGTTATTGCTACGTATATTGCCCAGGGTTGGTCTTGAACTGGGCTCCAACGATCCACCTGCCTCAGCCTCCTAAAGTGCTGGAATTACAGGTTTGAGTCAATGAGCTCAGCCAAAATACAGAAATTCAACACTGATACAAACTATTATCTAACCCACAAACCATATTCCAAAATAGTCTATTGTCCCAATAATGTCCTCTATAGGTTTTCCTCCCACCTTTTTTCCTGATCTGGGATCTACTGGAGGAAATCCTACTTAGTTGTCCTATCTCTTGATTCTCTTATAATCCAGGACTGTTTCTCAGCCTTACTTTTTCTTTTATTATCTTGATATTTTTTGTACAGACTAGTTATTTTGTAAAATGTTCTTTAATTTTGGCTTGATATTTCCTTATAATTAGTTTCAGGTTATACATTTTGGCAGAAATACCATAGAAATAATTTGTTGTCTTCTTCTTTTTTTTGGTAAAGATGGGGTCTCATTACATTGCCCAGGCTGGTCTCCAACTACCAGTCTCAAGGAATCCTCCTGCTTCAGCCCCCAAAATGCTGCACTGGGATTATAGGCATGAGTCACCATGCCCAGCCAGAAATAATGTCTTTCTCAAAACATGATGTCAGGAGGTGTCTCGCTCCATTATGGTAATATAACTTGAATTGCAAAGTTGGTTAGTGTGGTGAATATGGTATCTGCCAAATAAACTCACTGTAAACTTACCATTCTTCCCTTTGCAATTAATAAGTAATTCATGGGAGGATACTTTTGAGACTATGTAAATGTTACATACTTTGTCAACCTTTCAACTCACTAGTTTTAGCACCCATTGATAATTCTTGCTGGAATCAATTTTTTTTTTTTTAATAGAGATGGGGTCTCCCTATGTTGCCTAGGCTGATCTCAAACTCCTGGGCTCAAGGGATTCTCCTGCCTTGGCATCCAAAAGTGAATAGGATTACAGGTGTGAGCCACTGTGCCCACCATTTTTTGAAAAATATTTTTTATTTTTAATGGAACATTTCATGAGTCTGTGTGTCATCCTTGCTCAGGGGTCATGTTAATCTTCCTTGTATCATTCCAATTTTAGTATATGTGCTGCTGAAGTGTGCACGGAATCAACTACTATATTACAATACGATAATTTTATAGCTCCACCATTTCTTCTATATTTATTAGTTGGTATGTATTATAAGAAAAAGCTTTCCAGGCCAGCACGGTGACTCATGCCTGTAATCCCAGCACTTTGGGAGGCTGAGGAGGGTAGATCACCTGAGGACAGGAGTTCGAAACCAGCCTGGCCAACATGGCAAAACCCCGTCTCCACTGAAAATACAAAAATTAGCTGAGCATGGTGGCACATGCCTGTAGTCCCAGCTACTTGGGAGGCTGAGGCACAAGAACTGCTTTAACCTGGGAAGCAGAGGTTACAGTGAGCCAAGATTGTACCACTGCACTCCAGCCTGGGTGAAAGAGTGAGACTCCACCTCAAAAAAAAAAAAAAGAAAAAAAGCTTTCCTTTCTCCCCTAGTTATTTATATCAAAATGAGCCCACTGATTTTCATTTTATTCCATGACTATTCTGTTACTATCATTATTTTGATGCTCATATTTTTGCAGATTTGGCCAACAGGAGTCCCTTCATGCTGGTTCTTATGTCCTTTAGGCACAGTTCCATCATTTTGAGCAGCTGTTTTATGACATAAGATATTTCATGCTCCTGAGGTACTTTTCCCGCTCCAGACCTAGAATTATACCTTTCTTCAAGGAAACGTGGCTCCTTTTAGTGAAGAATGAATGGTATTTAAAAACCAAGATCTTAGGCCGGGCGCGGTGGCTCAAGCCTGTAATCCCAGCACTTTGGGAGGCCGAGACGGATCACGAGGTCAAGAGATCGAGACCATCCTGGCTAACACGGTGAAACCCCGTCTCTACTAAAAAATACAAAAAACTAGCCAGGCGAGGTGGCGGGCGCCTGTAGTCCCGGCTACTCGGGAGACTGAGGCAGGAGAATGGCGTAAAAACCCGGGAGGCAGAGCTTGCAGTGAGCTGAGATCCGGCCACTGCACTCCAGCCTGGGCGACACAGCGAGACTCCGTCTCAAAAAAAAAAAAAAACAAAAAACAAAAAAAAACAAAAAAAAAACCAAGATCTTAGAAGCAGGGGTACTCAGTGCTATTGGGGAATCTTTTCTCTTTTTTTTTTTTTTTTTGAGACAGAGTCTTGCTCTGTTGCCCAGGCTGGAGTGCAGTGGCCGGATCTCGGCTCACTGCAAGCTCCACCTCCCGGGTTTATGCCATCCTCCTGCCTCAGCCTCCCGAGTAGCTGGGACTACAGGTGCCTGCCACCTCGCCCGGCTAGATTTTTGTATTTTTTTAGTAGAGACGGGGTTTCACCGTGTTAGCCAGGATGGTCTCGATCTCCTGACCTCGTGATCCGCCTGTCTCGGCCTCCCAAAGTGCTGGGATTACAGGCTTGAGCCACCGCACCCGGCCTGGGAAATCTTTTCTAAGCCCTTTTGGTGGATCAAGAAATTCATACACATAAAACTACATCTGTTACTAACTATATTTAAAATGATGAGTTCATATTAATACCTCCATTTCCAATTCAACATCATTCTAATTTTCCCTCTTTTCACTTATAATTCCCTTCTCTAATAGGATGAAACCTGGTTCACAATATTATCAATATATTTTACTCATTTCTCAATCCTACCATACACAGGAAGTACATTTTAAAAACTGTTTGTTTTTTATTTTGAGATAGGGTCTCACTCTGTCACCCAGGCTGGAGTGCAGCAGCATGATCTCAACTCACTGCAACCTCCACATCCCGGGCTCAAGCAATTCTCTCACCTCAAACTCGTGTGAGTAGCTGGGACCACAGGTGCACACCCAGCTAATTTTTTGTATTTTTGGTAGAGATGGAGATTTACTGTGTTGCCCAGGTTGCTCTCAAGTTCCTAGGCTCAAGCAATCCACCCGCCTGAGTCTCCCAAAGTGCTGGCATTACAGGCATGAGCCATTGCACGCAGCCAAAAATTACTATCTTATGTCAATATGAAAAATAAATCTTCTAACTAGTGTTCAGTATTTATTTGTAGTCCTTTTGGTCTTTAGACTGAGGACATATAGTTAAAGTATCATGGTCAAAAACTGTTTGAGTTAGTTCTCATCCTTTCCTGCTTTGATGTGGTTACACAGTTCACATAGTTAGGTTCATCATTTTTTTGTTTATATTCTGTAAGTCTTTCCCAATCTTGCTGATTAAAATTTAACATGTTCCAAAAGTCAAAACTATACCAAAAAGTTAGCTTAAAGAAGTATTACTACCCGAACAATCACTTCTGCCCCAATCCCACCTACCTTTGCTATAGGTAGTAGATACATACATATTTACTATTTTTTACAAAAATAAGCAGACATGTATATCTTTTCATTTCCCTGTCTTTCATACACAAAAGTAAGCATATTGTATTTTTTTGCACTTTGCTTTTCCACTTAACAATATACCCTGGAAATCATTCTCTATCAGCTATCAGCTTTCTTCATTCTTTTTTACAGCTGTATAGCACTCTACTGTACACAGTTTATTTAACTATTATCCTATGTCTGGGCATGTAGATGTTTCTAATATTTTGCACCTAAAATAATGCAACAAATAGCCTTCTGCAAATATATTTTTACACTAATCAGAGCTTACCTTCAGAGTAAATTCTGACAAGAGAGAATTCTAAATAAAAAAGCAAATATGTGTTAAATTTTGTCACATCTTGAAAAATTCCTCTCCCAAAACAGTTTTTACCACACTGCATTACTACTAGCAATGTACAGGTGTACCTACTTCCTCACCGCCTAACCTTCAGAGTGTGTTGTCTAGCTTTTTGATTGCTGCCAACTTGACAGCTAAGAATTCATATCCTAGTATAGTTTTAATTTGTGCTTCCTTGATCATTAATGAGATTAAACATTTTTATAGAGGACTTAAGGGCCATTTTATGTTGTCTGTTTTTAAGTGAAGTAAATGTTCATGTCATTTGGCCATTTTTTCTATCAGCCTTCTCTGTTTGTTTTTCCTTATATTATATTTTCGGGCCAGGTGTGATGACTCATACCTGTAATCCAAGCATTTGGGGAGGCCAAAATGGGAGGAATGCATGAGCCCAAGAGTACGAGACCAGCCTGGGCGACATAATAAAACACTACCTCTACAAAAAATAAAAAATTAGCCATGTGGTAGCATGTGCCTATAGGCCCAGCTATTCAGGAGGCTGAGGCAAGAGGACCACTTGAGCACAGGAGGTCAAGGCTGCCTGAGCCATCACTGCAGTACCTGCACTCCAGCCTGGGCAACAGAGTGACACGAAAGAAAAGAAAGAAAAGAAAGAAAAGAAAGAAAAGAAAGGAAAGAAAGGAAAGAAAGGAAAGAAAGAAAGGAAGAAAGAAAGAAAGGAAGAAAGGAAGGAAGGAAGGAAGGAAGGAAGGAAGGAAGGAAGGAAGGAAGGAAGGAAGAAAGAAAGAAAGAAAGAAAGAAAGAAAGAAAGAAAGAAAGGAAGAAAAATATTTTCTTCCAGTATGGCATCTGTTTTTTTGACATTGTTTATGGCTTTTTTCAAACTATGCAGAAGATGGGTTTTTAAAAATTATTATAGAATTAAGTTCTCAAATCAACAACCAAACTACACCATAAGGAACTAAAAAAAGAACAAACTAAATCCAAAATTAGCAGAAGGTGCTGGGCGTGGTGGCTCATACCCGTAATCTCAGCACTTTGGGAGGCCAAGGCAGGTGGATCATCTGAGGCCAGGAGTTCCAGACCAGCCTGGTCAACAACAGAGTAAAACCCCGCTCCACTAAAAATACAAAAATTAGCCAGGTGTGGTGGTGCACACCTGTAATCCCAGCTACTCAGGAGACTAAGGCAGAAGAACTGCTTGAACCCAGGAGGTGGGAGTTGTAGTGAGCTGATATCGTGCCACTGCACTCCAGCCTGGGCAACAGAGTAAGGCTCCGTCTCAAAAAAAAAAGAAAAGAAAAGAAATAATAAAGATTAGAGTAGAATTAAATGAAATAGAGAACAGAGAAATGGGGGCAAAATCAACAAATGAGTTGCTTTTTTGAAAAGATCAACAAAATTGACAAATCCTCAGCTTTCTTGAGAAAAAAAAGAAAGAAGATTCAAATAACTAAAGTAAGAAATAAGAAATAAGAGACATTACAACTGGATGCCTCAGAAATAAAAGGAATTATAACAGACTATGGGCTGGGTACAGGGGCTGATGCCTGTAATCTCAGCACTTTGGGAGGCCGAGGTGGGCAGATCACTTGAGCCCAGAAGGTCAAGACCAGCCTGGGCAACACGGCAACACCTTGTCTCTACAAAAAACACAAAAATTAGCTGGCCATGGGCGTGTCTGTTCGTGTAGTACCAGATACCCAGGGCTGGGGGTCGGGGGTTGAGGTGGGAGAACTGAAGCTGTAGTGAGCCATAATCGTGCCACTGCACTCTAGCCTAGGTGACAGAGACCTTTCTCAAAAAAAAAAAAGAAAAGAAAAGAAAAAAGAAAAAGAAAGACTACTAGGAATCATACCTGCCAACAAATTGGATAATCTACAAAAAATTGGATAAATTCCTAGAAACATAAACCTACCAAGACTGAATCATGAAAAAACAGAAAATCTCAACAGATCTGTAATTAGTAAGGAGATTGAATCAGTAACTGAAAACTCTCCAACAAAGAAAAGCCCAGGACCTGACAGCCTCACTGGAGAATTCTATCAAACATTTAAATAAGAATTAATGCAAATCTTTCTCAAACTCTTTCAGAAAAACTGAAAAGGAGGATCACTTGAGCCCGGGAGGTCGAGGCTACAGTGAGCTATGATTACACTGCTGCACTCCAGCCTGGGCAACAGAAGGAGACCCTGTTTCTTAAAAAAAAAAAAAAAAAAAAAAAAAGTTGTGTTTCTATACACTAACAATGAATTACCTGAAAAGAAAATTAAGAAAATAATGCCATTTATAATAACATCAAAAAGAACAAAATACTTAGGAATAGACTTAACTGAGGAGGTGAAAAACTTGTCCATTAAAAACTGTAAAACATCTCTG